AAAATCTAACAGGTGTTGGTGTCTTATTATTTGTGATAACAGGTTAAATAATACTGCCGGATAAATAGGGCAAATAATAAATAACATATAGTCCAACATCATTTAATTTACAATAACAGGAGACAGTCTCAGGTAATTTAGAACTGTCCAGGGAAGCATTGCCACAAGTGCTCAAAATGCTTGGGCACTGAGGACAATGGAGTACAGAGGACTCTAAGAGACATCACTCTACACTCTTGCATGTTTGCTTTCTTTCACATTTGGATGTGCTTTGTTATTATAAAGTGACATCTTTGTAATTAAAGTGATTAATGATGTGCCCTAGTGTTTATGGGTCCTAAGGTCAGGAGGTCCAAAGATTGTCATGCTGTGGGAAATTTAGAGCTCACCTCATAGAAGATGAACCAGATCCTGCATCCTTTCTCCATGGCTGTGTGAGGGAAATGTTAGATGACGTTGAAGGAGACAGCCAGCTATCAAAAGTAATGTGAACTAGTCTTTATCCATAGTTCTGTTGCCTAGTTCCTTGTTCTTAAACATTATCATGAAAGTTTACTGGCTGCTTTTTAAAACAAAAGCTACATGGTTTTGTAAAGCAGTATAGGAAAATGCACCAGTTAAAAACATTCTTAAATATAGCTTCAGCCATTGGGTGTTCAGAGTTTTAGCTTTGTCTGATTCTTTTGCATCTAATCCGTGATAAAGCTATTGCTAATTTACAATCTTTCTTTTATATCCTTCATTTTAACTAGGACATCACAATTCTAGTTTTTAATAGGTCTGTTTGTTATAACTGCAAACTCCTTTCAGCTGTTAAGCTGGAAGCTTTGAAACTGCTTATACTGAGTTGGGGATTTCGGTCTCAGATACTGCTTTTCTAAACAAAACGAGCAACTTTGAAAAGCTTGCTCTACCCACAGGGACCGCTTTGTTCTTTGCATTCGTATACTGGGGATAGTACTCAGCTAAGGCGGTGGTATCTCACCATCCAGGCTTACTCTTGTCACGGCTTCCACTAAGAAAGAACAATAAGCCTATTGTTGGGTCATGGAACTGTGCCATTGCCAGGACCTCAGCCGACTGGAAACTCACCCTGCACAGGAGTGACTCGACCAGAGGGAGACGCAGTAGCTTGTGATTTTCTTTTTTTAATCCTTTACCACGTTTTAAAATATTCATTTGTTCAAATGTCTTAAATTTATTCCTTCCCAGGTAACCTGTGACACTGCTAAAAGAGAAAATGCTTACTGTTTGTCAAACTTAAGGAAAGATAATTATAACAAATTTAAATTTGGCAAATGCTTTTTCATATTTATATGTTATGGCTTTTTTCACAGAGAATACTAACTATATATATTCATAGATACATTTAATAAAGGAAATAGAATTTTCTTCTTCTTTTGTAATCAAATTATGTTTCAGACAAGGCATCCTGGGTATCTTATTAAACATAAAATTTAAGAGAGTACTAGTGAGACAAGAAAGATAAGTTGTGTATAACCAAAAGTTTGTAGATTATACATTGTAAAGTTTTACGATTGTAAACTGAAATATTTCTTTCCCTTAATTTTACTACTCCTGGGAGACTTAAGTAAACATTTCAGACATTGCAAAGATCCGTTCATCCTTTAAGTATTTATTTAAAATGATGTTTCCCAAGCCCCACCCTCAACTCTACTCTTGAGAAATATTCCTAAATAACAAGCTGTCTTTTAAGTATGTTTGGATGGCAATCCATAGTGTTTTCTTTAGTTATTTAAGGTCTTCTGATTGACAAGACATATAACTTGGCCTCTATGTTTTTCACATATCTTTTAGAGGTAGAAGGCTGTGTTTAGAGTTTTACAGGGCAGTTTCCTGTGAAATAAACTCTGAGAAAGTTTTTCTTATCAAATGCATATTCATTGTATATATTAGGGAAGAGGTACACAAAAAAGGAGAAGAATCGTTTAAAGAGAACCTTTCCTAAAATGTAGGTAACAGTGTTGGTGTTTTATAGGTACATCATTAATATTGTGTTCTTATCATATAGTGCCAAAATGAAAAATGGTTTTGTGAACAATTTTAAAGGTAAAAAAGAAAACTTTATTGACCTAGCCTGCAAATTTACTTCAAAAGGCAAAGTAAAATATAGTAACAATATTTCAAACTTTTGCTGAAATCGTCAACTTCAATAAATACTCAGATGTCACATGGTGCTAAGAACATAAGAAATATATGAATATATTAGCATATAAGAAACCTTTTTCAAAATTTAAAAATTCCATGGTTCATTTGGTGGCTAGAATTTAAAACAAAAGAGCTGATTTTTATTGCACTTTGTGGTGTAGCAGCCATTTCATTAGACATTTGATTACAAGCCAGTCTATTTTCCATGCAGTAGGATGTTTGTATAATGAACCCACCCTGGGATTTTGAGGGCATGTTGCCACTCTTCCTGAAATGCTTATCTTACATCTTGTGAAACCTTGTAAGAAGGCAAACAGGGTGTTTCACATTTAATTTTTTTTCTCTAAGTTCAGGTTTTTTTTTTTTTCAATTGCTGTGTTTATAAACATTTCATTTAATAAAGTATATTCAGATTCATTCTGAACATAGTAAATTGGGACAACAAAATTAGTGAAAACTGTTCTGGGCTTTTGTTGCTAACATTGTTTAAATTAGAGGGAGCACTAACAAAATGAGGGGATTTGTTTTAATATATATGTATATATTATTATCATGTATATATATATACATGTATATATATATACATACATACATATGTATATGATGTCTATATTGTCTTTAGTGGGACAACCTGCTTGCTCACTTTGATGCTTTCCTCATGCTGGGCAAGCTGAACTACACCCCAGCCACATAGTATGACCTTTATTTGTACATTACATTGCTAGACATGGGCTGTGGATCTCATCACATCCAGATGAAAAAGGATATTGGCTTTTCTATTTTGGCAAACTTTCAATAATGTCTCGGGTGATTTTAATGAGTAGATCCTTAGTGATTAAATTGGACTGTGAAATTCCAAGGAAGATTCCATTGTTCTGTACTTGAACTTGTTCTTTGTTGTAATAACCCTCCAAGCTAAACAGTAGCTGTTTGAGAGAACACACGGAAAGTTATGCAACGGTACAGGGTATGACCTGTACTACAGCAGCTGAGTGTTAGTACCCAGTGTGGCCTTTCATTAGGCTAGGCAACTATTCTTTTGGTGAAATTAGTTGTTATTGGAAAATTCAGCTGCTGCTAAAGTGTTGATCAAGGTTTATTACTAGGATATTTTTATTGAGAGATTCACTGTTCTGGATTATTTGTGAACTGTTGTATATTTTAAATAGAAAAAAACTCATATTTTATATAAAAATTGTTATCAATACTTACCTACTACTTTTACATTCTTGGAATTCACCTTGATATTTTATTCTTGGACTGGTATATTATTAGAGGAATTAGATTGCTGCTGGTGTATTAAAAAAATAACATACAGTGGGGAATAGAAGAGAAGTTGGAGGGGAGAAAACGGGGGTCAGTTTGATCAAAACACATTATATGCATGTATGAAATTCTCAGCCAGCTCTTGTAAAAGAAGAAATAACACTTCAACATCAAGGAAATGCCCTGTATAGTATCAGTAGCTTTCTCAGCTGCTAGTAAGCACGGCTATCGTAGGGCAAAGTGTAGCAGTGTGGGGCTCAGCAGAAATCCTAAGCGGTTTGCTTCAACCCTGAAGCTCCTGCTTGGAAAGATGAAGATGACAGTTTTATTTTATAAGAGATAGTTGCTCTAAACCAATAGATGTTACTCTTCAGCCCCTTATGCCAACAAGGCACACAGTGCAAAGTAAGACCAGGTTAAAAATATCAATCCACTTGAAATACAAAGAGCCATCACAGGCCTGGAGTTTTCTTAGATTTTCCTTAATCTTTCTCCTGCACATTCTTTACTGGTAATATATTACCTGCACTAACGTATGGACAAAGACAGAACATGGTCATTGCTTTTACTGAATGTGTAGCCTGGTGGATTAACTAAATTTAGTCTTTAACATAACATAGTAGTTACTATTACTGTTGCTCTGATGCACCACCCTGGCAAAAACAAGTTCAGTTTTTGGGTACGGTCTGCCTGGTGGGGAAGGGATGGTGGCAGGAACTTGAAGCAGCCAGTCACATTACATCTAACCAGGAATCACAGTCTAGGTGCCCATGGGATAATGATTCTCATAATCAAGATGTCGACCCCTCCCACGCCCCCATGACCCTCTGCTAGGGAATCTTTCACAGAGATGCTCAGAGGCATGTCTCCCAGGGGATTCTAGATTCATTTAAGTTGAAAGCCGATCTACATCAACTTGTATAAGTGTTTAAGTCTAAAGATACAGAGTAAATTACTTAATAAGGGACTTAGTTCAACCTAATTATAATTAGGTTGAATTATTGAATGAGACGCAGAATCTGTAGGTGTTCTGTTCTGACAAATGTCAGGAGAAAAGGCAGTTACTACTGGAAACCAAGATTTAGGTTGGGTTTTTGAAGAGCTGCTTTATATCAGGAAGTCATGCTACTTTACCTTTTAATGTGAGGATTGCTTTAGCATAGGCATAATAGAAAACAGGGTTGGTATTTTCTCTCCTTATTTGAGCTTGCAGACCTAGAAAAACTGAAAAAAAAAAAACTTACAGTGCATGAGAATATTGGCTCTTGTAGCATTGATTTCTAATTACATAAACTAATTAGATTAATACTAGCATTTGGGAGGCAGAGGCAGGTGGATCTCTGAGTTCTAGGCCAGCCTGGTCTATAAAGCAAATTACAGTACAGCCAAGCCTACACAGAGAAACCCTATTTCAAGCAAATAAAAGATTGCAAATAATAAAAATTATTTATAAAGGTTATTAATTTTGATAATTTAATATCTGAAACTGCATAAGTAGTAAAATTCTCTTGATGACATTTCTAAATTGCCAGAGGTTAATTTTTTTTTCCTTCTTTCCCCTCCAGAGCATCAGCTGCAGCCAAGCCCGAGCCAGTTGCTGTGCAGAAGGTGCGTTTCTGGTTCAGCATCACTAGGCTCAGTCCATCTTGAGCCACCTTTGCTATTCATGTCTCAGGTCTTATCAGTGTTTCGTTTACATCCTCAGAACAGTTTTCCTTAAAAGGCAGAGAGCAAAGTAGAAACCAGAACTTACAAAGTTACTGTATTAGTTAGGTTCTCTAGGGGAACAGAACTTATAGAACAGTCTGTGTGTATGTGAAATATAATTATCAGAATGGCTTACAGTCTGTAGTCTAGCTAGTCCAACAGTGGGTGTCTACCAAATGTTAAGTTCAAGAATCCAGTAGTTGTTCAGCTGGTCTTTACTATGTGCTGAAATCTGGAAGAAGTAGGCTCTAACGTCAGTGAAGGAATGGACTTGTTAGAGAGGCTAGGGCAAGCAGGTAAAGAGGGAAAGCTTCTATGTTCCATGTACTTTATGCCATCAGAAGATGTGGTCCAGATTGAAGGTGGATCTTTCCACCTCAAAAGATCTGGATTAAAAGGTCTGCTTGAGCTAATTCCAGATGTGGTCAAGTGACAACCAAGAATAGCCGTCACAGCTGCCGTTTGTAATATTATATTATAAAACATATTTCTAAGCTCCTACATTGCCCAAATTCCTTTTGTATTTACTTTTAATTTTTTTATATTTATACATCTAAAAAGCATTAGTAAGTAGCTTTATTAGTAAAAAGCATTAGTAAGTACCCACAATGAATAGCACACCATTCCAAGGTGTTCTTGGGTTAGGTTATTGGCAAATATCCTGTTTTTTTGTCATAATTCCTCACATTATTGAAATTCAGTGTTTGTAGTCATCTGATTTACTCTCTTTGAAATTTTTCTTCCTCATTTTTTGGCATTCAGTTGTTCACTTCATTGACTTGTTTTAGCACCGGTTTTTTAATTAATAACAATTAATAAGATTATAAATTGCCTTTTTTCTTGTAATTAAACATGGAACTACCAGTATATATTTTCTTAAAGATGGATTTTCTTTTGTGGTGGTAGAGAGAAAGGTTTTTGGGGGTTTGTTTTGTTTTGTTTTTCGTGTTGTAGACACATAATTGAGAAAGCTTTGAGTATGAGTACAGATAAAGATACACTTTGTGATTTTGGGTGATAACCAATTTTTGATGATTGGAGCAACTGGTCTTTCATATTAGGCTTTGACTCCTGGCAATGAGGAAATATATAAGATCATGGTTTTCCTCATGAGACTTAAGTATTTTATTTTGGAAAAGGGGAAAGAAAATTTTATTTTATCTCTGAATAATATCTTCACACACAAAAGGAGGGAACAGAAGTGGACAGTAAGAGAGATTCGGGATAATTGGTTTTTGTTCTCCCCCCCCCCCAAATTTTTTATTCATAATAACTATATAACTCTACTTTGGGCTAGGTGAATTCCCTTAGTTGAAGACTTTATAACTTGGTGCTTTTCGTGACTCAAGTAGTTACATTGTGGAGAGAAATGAAATGTTAGATATATGGAATTATAATTGAAGCTTTGGTTATTTTAAAAGGAAGGTGTTTCAGTTAGTAGTAGTTTGTTTATGTAGAGTAAAATTATTAATTTAAAATATATCTAAGTTGATTTAATGATGTCCTTTAGGTTTTTTTTTTTTTTTTTTTTGCTGGCTTTCCTTCTCTGTTTTCTAAACATTTTGAGTGTTAATTTTTATGAAAATATATTTCCTGTGTGCATTAGTGTTATGCATGTTGAGATTAGTTAGCATGCATGCTATGCTGTATCAACTCATTGTTTTTCCTGGAAACATATTTGAGCTGCTAACATTGTATTGTCTTCCTAAAGTCAGCTATGTGTTTGTTTGCACTCAGTGTATTTTGCACGTATTTGGCGTGTTGTTTTGTATATGTTTATTTTTATTTCACATAGGGCGAACCCAAAGAAGTAGTTAAACCTGTGCCCATTCCATCTCCTGCCGTATCCAAAGTCACTTCCACAGCCAACATGGCCTACAATAAAGCACCACGGCCCTTTGGTTCTGTGTCTTCACCAAAAGTCACCTCCATCCCATCACCGTCGTCTGCCTTCACCCCCGCCCATGCCACCACTTCATCACATGCTTCCCCTTCACCCTTGGCCGCGGTCACTCCTCCCCCATTCTCTGCGTCTGGGCTGCATGCTAACGCCAGTCTTGGTGCTGACCAGTGTCCACCTGCACCGAGCACTGGTAAACCTGCAGTCAATGTCCCACGGCAGCCCACAGCCACCAGCGTGTGTGCCGAGTCTGCTCAGGAGCTAGCAGAGGGACAGAGAAGAGGATCCCAGGGTGACATTAAGCAGCAAAATGGGTAGGTGGCTCAGGGTAGTCTTGGCTCTTAACCAAAATTCTTCTTTCAGGTATTTTCTAGGAAACAGTGTACTTTTCTCTTCAGGTGTTCTTTGAAGGAAGATGAAGTTATATTTGCTACATTAACCTTGGCCTTCATTTATTTACAAAGTACTTGTACAAAGCGGTTATAAGTCAATCAGAACTTCATTATGCATTTTGATGTGTTCTGAGCATGTAACACTTTGCAACTTTGCTCTCCAAGTTCCTGCACAGTGTTGAGCAGTTGGCACTTGTAATGCAAGGCAAGTCTTCTATCCTTCCTCCTCAATATTTCATTTTATCGGTCATCAAGATGTAAGCAGTGTGGTTTGTTCTCAGCATAACTACACTTCCTTAAGGAGAGAGGAAATGAGTTTGTATTATCTTTCCCTTACAGCAAGTAGTCTAGAAAGCTGAAAACTTTGACTGGGGGTCCTGTATAAGACATTAGCTAAGAGCAAATAGCTAAAATTCTTTTTAGGTAACGTTTATCAAGAACTTATTCTTTAAATGCAATCAGTAATTTTTAAAAAGGTGAGGGTTCAGCATCAGGAGCACTATATAGGTTTTTTTTTTAAGTTGAATTCATTTAAACTAGAGGATGTTAAATAATAGCAATTTTTGAAAATTCAATCATAAACTTTTGTTTAGAGGTTATATTTTTAAAAATGTGTTGAGAATACTAAATTATTTGAAGTCCCAAGATTTAAGGTTGCACATATGCTTTTGATTCCTTTATTTCTAGGTTGATAATTTGTTTTTTTTAGAATTCAGTGAAGTTATTTGCAGGAAAAGTGATTTACATGCAATTTTGGTTGGATTTGTTATGTCAACTGTACTTTTAAAGAGAAATACTATGCACACGTGATGGGCTGTGCTGATGCAAGACTCCGGGCCATTTATAATTAAAATAATTGGGTAGATGACCCATTCTGCGAGATCTAACCCCTCTGGAATGTTAACTCACTTAAAGTGTTGTTGCCATGGCTCTTCTGCTCTTTAAAAGAGGAGGTGGCAAGGATCCAGGCTGCTGCTGAGGGAGCTGGGCATCTATGGCTCTGATGTAGACACTGAAGTCAATTAATGCCCTTCACAGAGTGTTATGTCTCCTTTATCTAAGGAAGAGAATATCTTTGTGTATGCTTGGTTATATTTTTTCCTTGTATGTATGCTTTATGGCAATAGATGCTAGAGTAATCAAACTAGGTAACCAGAAGAGAATGATGTTGCCAGTTAAATGCTGGCCCACAGAAAACACGTTCATTTTGTTTGTTAAATTCTAGTTTGAGTAGATAGAAAGTCCATTGAAGGTCGTTATATCTTAACTAAAACCTTTTAATACTTCTGGAAATTTTAGAATAAGTTTGTTTGTTTTTTTTTTTTTTTTTTGAAGTAGGAGCAAAGTGAAGTTATGGGAAAGTCTTATTTCACAACAAACTTCAATTTGCGCTTGGTAAACATTTCTTTAGTAATTAAGGTTGAAATGATTTAGAGTTTACGTCAAGGCCCAAATGACAATGCTGTAGTTTTAGGATCTTAGTGGCAGCTTCCTAATGAGTCTACCCGTATTCACCCAGCACATGCCTGGTGTTCAGCACAGTGCAAAACTGAGGATAAAAGGGATTATTACATGCTTTGCATCATTAACAAGAAAGCTACTGCTTTGCAGTTGCAAACTGAAAGTGTTTAAACATAGCTTTATTTTAAATGCTGTCCAGATGTTAAGACAGTGAGCACACAGTTTGGTGCCTGTCACATTCTAAGGTAGATCTGTAGAGCTCTTTCTGTTACAGCATCTCAGTTGGAAAAGTAAAAAGTCACATACTTGACTAGTCAGTCACGACCTTTCCTGAAGAGTTAGTGTGGCGTTGATGAGCACTGTCTCCACATCAGGTGTCAACCTGTTTCTGTCAGATGTTTTACTGGTAGGCTTCCCATATCTTTATGACTTCAGTAAAACAAAACTCTTGTAAACCTAAGTTATTGCTCTTTATTAATTACTTTTAAAATAGCACATGCCAATGACCAAACATTTAAAAGTTCAAAAGAAGACAATAAACGGCTGAGTTGTCTTTTCCTCAAAGCATCAGAACTGTTAGTTTTTACATGACTTGAAATCGTTGGCTAATTTGCCAGTTTTACAGGTATCCCACCCAAATTTGTGATGAATCAACAAACAGGAGAGGCAAGCAAGTGCTTATTGGATAATTAATAAAATATAAACTAGCTATTCCCCATACAATAGGAAGTCTGGCTAGCATGCAGATGGTTCTCAAGAGTGACTGTTAATAACTATGTAAATATTCTTTTTCTTGTAACTAATAATGACTAAGACAGTTTTAAGGAATTTAAATATTTCTTTTGCATATAAATTACTGTTCTTGGCATGCTGTTCTCTCTGCTACCTTCTTACTCTCTGAAGAACAGAACAGGGTTTTATATTCCTAACTGGAAACAAGCTGTTTTACATGAAGTAGATTAACTGATTTGCATTTCCCAGTCCACATGTCCTGCATTATAAAGTGCCACTGCTCTCAGCAGGTAAGTCTTTTGTGTATCCTGTATTAATTTCAGTTTCCTTTGGCTGCAACTTCTAACAGTTTGTATGTGGTGTTTTGAAGAATCGGCCTTGAGAGATGTAAAAATTAATGATATAATCAAATAATGGCTTAAAATGCTTTTCTCTTTACAGAAAACACACGTGACAAAGTTAGTATCTACATTACTGGAGAGGAGATATGGTGATTTATATATGAGTAAACGGCATGAATGCTCAGTTTTTGCAAAATTAAATTAAATTTTGCAAAAGAATTGTAACTTAGAAAAAAACAGTGTTGTCAAAAAGTTTGGTTTGCATTGCTGTGTTATAGTGAATTGCTTTATAGTAGTATGTGGTATTGTTTAAGTTTTTTTTTTGTTTGTTTAAGTTTTAAAAGGTGTGTTAGGTTTGCTGTTCAGTGGCTGAAAGATAAAATGCTTGGAGAAATTCTAATCACTTGTCAAGAGTGTTACAAGACAAAGATAAGAAACTAAAAATGTTAACAGTAGTAAATAATATGTACAAAAACTGAATTATTTCCAAATTGATGTCAGAAGGCAGTATTTCTCTGAGAACATTTCTGATTTTTCTGGAGAATTAAATCAGAAAATATTACTGGCAGGTTTACATGTCTTTGTATAGTGTGCTTGTTTATATGTGAGTATTGGACACTCCATAAGGTTTTACTCAAAAGAAATAGTTGACAATTTGTTAAATGTTTCAGTTAGTAGGCGTAGACAGTGAAAACCACAGCATTTTTGGTTTTTTTTTAAAAAAATTCATACTGACAGTAGACTGACTAGTGATGACTAGCTTAAAAACTAGATTAAAACTAAGTTGTCATAGTAACAATTTAGAATTTTTATGTTAACTGAGATGTATTATTTTGAGCATGTACAGAAATTTCATTTATCAGTCGACACAGTAAAGTCTTTTGGAAGTAGAGAACGCTTGTCTTCGGACATACCCGTGAGAATTAACTGCTGAATTGTTAGAGCACTTTCTCTCTAATTGCCTGCAGTCTACTGATTAATCCCAGCGCGTCAGTAAGACACTGACACCGTGAGTAACTGGCGACTTAAAATGAACTGATTGTACGTAAAACCTGGCCAGGGGGCAGGCTGTAGTGCAGCACATGCTGTAGTTGATAAAAGGCAAACACAACGCTTGAAAAAAAATTGAAACATTTATGTGAAATAGCTTCAAAATTCAACATTCAGATCCACTAAGTTACTGGGTATTGCTCCGTATTTTACTGTATTTCCAAATGCTTCATAACAATCTAATTTTCATTCATTTGAGTGACCAGGAATATATTTTCCTGTCATGCTTCTTGTACAGGAGCTAAGATTTGATCCTGAGCCAAATTTGGATGTGCCCTCCATTATGTCCCCTGTTGTCACTCATATCCCTTTCTGTCATTTTGATTTGGTGTCTACTGCCAGAGACTACAGACCCACATTGTGGCTCTGCAAGGGTACACATCAGAGGGACTTTTCTTGAGCAGTTGTGTAATATTTGTTTTACAAACCAGTATTTATGCAGCTTTCAGGTACTTTAAACATAAGCCCTTGTAAGACATCTGAAGGTCAGGAAGATGTTACCATTGAAGGAAAAGAGCCTTTTGTAAATGTGCTTTGCCCACAATATGGGCACCTTAGCTAGTGCAGGTTATCTGGCTATAACATTGACATAGCAGCTACATATGAAGCAATCTGTTTGAGGATATTTTCTAAAGTACGTGAAAATATTTGTTGATTATATTCCAATTGGTTTCTTTACGTTGAAATCAGTCAACTTGTGCCCTTCAACACAGAACAGAGCCCCTACAATTTCATCTTAACACAAACCATTTTCCCTCAACTTTTGACTGTTGGAGAGTACATCAGCAGTTATATATGAGATTATGTAGCAAAGCAATATCCTTGCAGTGTGGTGTAGGGAATGCTTTACTCCAGCAGTTCTCAACCTGAGACTTGAAACCTCTTTGGGTGATGAAATGACCTTTTCACAGGAGTCACCTAAGACTGTAAGACCATAGGAAAACATAAATATTTATATTACGATTCCTAACAGTAGCAAAATTGCATTACAATGTAGCAAGGAAAAAACATTATGTTTGGGGTCACCACAACAGAAGGAACTGTTATAGGGTGGCAGAATTAGGAAGGTTGAGAACCACTGCTTACACTGAGAAAAGAAGGGTCAATATTGGTGATTACCTTATTGCTGTGTCCAGACTCATATTGTGGAACTGGGCCTTCTGTAATGATTATGCTGATGTCAACATGTAGAAAATCCACAGTTCTATTCAGTTTTAACATTAAAGCTGGTAGGCAGTATTTCTCACCTAGTTTATAATGACTTTCTATTCTGACTAAATTTTATTGCAGTCAAAGAGCCAGTATGTTCTTTGACAAAGTAATAGAGAATTTATACTTGATTGTCTATGGTAATAGGACACAGATGTAATTGTTTTTAATAATTCTGTCCATGTTAGGCTATGTGGATGAATTGTATCTGAAAGGTTCCCTTCTTCAGTTTTTATTAACTGAGTTCCATTACCATATCAAATCAGATCCACCTTTCTGAGCAATAATTATATCCCCAGTAATATAGAACCATGTAGTTACCATACACTACTTCTCAGGTTCTGGGATTTATGAAAGAGGGGCTCATGAGTAGTGGGGAGGGATGTGAACACTAATAAAGAGCCCATTATTCCTAGTCTGCTGTGCTTTCTACATTTTCATTAACCATTACATTTTTAAGAAGAAAATTCAGTATAACAGTCCCTTACATGATCAGAATGATTTATGAGAAGAGAGTATAGTTGCTATTAATAAACTTCTAGAATGTGAGACTGAACAGTTTCTTTTCTGATTTTAAAATGCATTGTAAACTGATTTCTAATTGATATTTCAGACTACACCTTATTATGTGCTTTTGTAGGAAAATGAGTGATTTCTTACTATAATAAATTTTCTAAAAACCTAAGCATTAAGAAAAATCCTTGGTTTTCAGGAATTAGGACTTGAACTGACATTAATACATAAAGTCATGGTCAGTGTTTTGTAGGAAGAAAGCAGATGTTAAACTGTTGTCCTGATAGTTGTGATGCAGCAGAGTTTTGACTAACACTGTGCCTACTTGTCTGTGCTTCTGTGATTATTTTGAAGCATGGTGTTTATGTGCCATCTCTTAAATGGTTTTGGATTCTACTGTTTCATTTTTTTTCCCCCTTTTCTCCGTTTTGTTTTCCCTTTCCTCTGTCTCTGCTCTCCATCTTCCTGGGAACCTCCCTGTCCTCCCTGTCACATCTTTCCTGTGTGTATTATTCTTCCTGCAGTAACCCTGGCACTGTGTAAGTACTTAACTGATGGTTTGTCTTGTCATTTTAGCCATTCTCTCTCTAACTTCTCAACTTAAACCACCCCAGCAAATATTCTAAGTATCATCTCATTACAAGAATTCTCAGGTATATTAAGGAATATTTAAAAAACTGGGCTTTTTACACCAGAAGGCTTCATATGAGTCAGTAGGTATGCTTGTAATGCCCGCATCTCCGCAGCAGAAAAATTTAGTAAAGCTAACTAAAGAGGAGCAGCTAGCGTTACAAGCAACATGTGCTAAGGTTAGAGATGTGATTTAGTATCCCTTTTTAGTATTGTTTTAAAAAATAAGTGTAGATGAGTTTTCTAATTTTGAATGTTTATATTTTGAAATATATGACTTGCTCTTGAGAGTGAAATTTACTCTATTTTCAAAGATTTTAAAAATATTTATTTTAAAATCATTAATATTTCTCTTAACATAATCATCTTGTTAAATTTTGACACTGAGGAAGAACTAGGTAAATGTTTAGAAATTTTTTGAGTCTGAGACTTTGAAGCTGTGGAAGTAAATGTCATAAGGTCTAATATATTTTCTGGAAACATGTCATGTTAACTTCTTCATGGAATTATGTTATTATTCTTCATGTCTTAGCTTGAAGCCATTTTTTCATCTCTTTATAGATGGATGTCTATAGAGGCTAAAACAAATCACATGTATGTATGATTCCATCCCCATCTATGTATAAATTGGATGTGATAGCACATACCTGTAATTCTGGTACTGGGGAGATGGAGACAGGAACTTAAACTTGACATTCAATTATTGGCAATCATTTAAAAATAAACAATGCTTATTGACTAATTAAAGAGAAGTTTAAAAATTAATAAGTTTCTTAGCTGCTACAGTTTTTTTTCTTCAAGTACTTATGTAAAATTTAGAGCTTTGTTATAGATGCTAAAGGCTGGGTTTTTGTTTTGTTTTGTTTCAAGACAGGGTTTCTTCATGTAGCCTTGGTTGTTCTGGACTCACTTTGTAGACCAAGCTGGCCTGCCTCCGCCTCCCTAAGTAATGGGATCACAGGCGTGCACCACTGTGCCCAGCCAAAGGCTGTTTTTTTATAAATAACATCTGTCTTTTTCTTATTTTCTGAAATTTTTGTTTATTCTTAAAAGGATTAGGTGTTGCTCAGTATTCATAAATATCTGCAAGGTAGTTCACTTCCATATTATATGTCTTACTTTTTTTCTGTACAAATATTGATTCTTTTTTTTTTTTTTTTTTATGTCTGTCTGTGACCTACAGTCTTAGCAGACAGTCTTCCTGAAAGAGCAGGATCATGATCTGTGAAACTCCATTTACATATATCATCTATGTTACTTATTTCTCAGAACCACCTTTAAGACATAATTCCCAAAGTTCAAATCTGAGACTTAGAGCAGTTACGTGACTTCCATGAAAACATTGAGTGGAGGATATAGTCCTTCAAATTGTCCGTGTGAATTCAAAGCTGTTGTTATTAATTTGGATGGCCTCAGCTGCTGGGTTAGTTTTAGAATGCTGGCAGCCCTGTGACATGGTGATTTTCTAGTGAGTTAAACTAGCAGGTCTTACATCCACATCTGGCTACATTAAGAACATCGTCGCTACTCAGATCTTAGGACAGCATTCTGCCAGACAGGACTTGCTATTTTATTTTCTGAAATTAACCACTTAAGTTCTAATATTTGGCATTAGTCTTATTTGAGGTGAAGTAGGAAATACTTATTTTTTTCAGTTGATCCTGAAATGCTGAGTAATGAATATTGCGACTTCCTTAATCTTTGTAGTATATAAATAAAAACATGAATGTTTCCGGCGAGCTCGGTGTTTGAATATCCTACTTTTCTTGTCTTTGGGCTATGTTATCAAACAATTCTCAGAACACTACTCTTTGTGGTGTTTTTTTCTTTGTTAACCAAATAACTGAGGCTCAGTGAAATGGCCTTGTCCAGAATTGCAGTCTGAAGAGTGATGGAGAGAGAATTTCACTCTTGGACCCTTAGAGAAACTGGAGCGCTTCACTTTGCTGACCTGGACCACAGAAAGTTGTAGAACATAGCGCTTATGTTCCTTTTCAAAATTATATTTGAAATTGCTAGTTCATCCATACAAAACATTCTTGGTTCTGGAGCATAGTGAAGATACAACCATTTAATTTGTGAAAGCCAATCCACTGTGGCATTCTAGAATAAATATCCATATTTAACTGGCGCAATCATAGTTCATATTGTTTTACAAGGAACGGTATGAAGATCACAATTAATTTTAAACCATTGGGTTTTTACTGCTGTACACTTTCCTGTCTATTTTTCTTATTCTTTTTCTTTTCTTCTCTTCATGTTTGGACTCTTCTTCCTGCTGCCTCCTTCTGTCACTTAAAAGGAAAATACCACCTAAACGGTAACCTTTCTGTTCAGTGCAACCTTTTATCATTGCGTATTTTAACTAACCTATACATTTATTTTTACTACTGTGCCTATTTAGAAGGCTGTTTTAATTGAATGTATTTACACATATTATATATATATATATAATATGTGTAAATACATTCAATAAGAAGTAAATGTATAAATGATAAATAATCCATCAGATAATATTTTTATCACTAATGCAGTTTAAATTGTAATTAATTATTAATTTTTCTTTATTTTTTTTAAAGCCCACCAAGAAAACACATCGTGGAGCGCAACACGGAGTTTTATCACATACCCACTCACAGTGATGCCAGCAAGAAAAGGCTGATCGAGGACACTGAAGACTGGCGCCCACGGACTGGAACGACTCAGTCTCGCTCCTTCCGGATCCTTGCCCAGATCACCGGGACTGAGCATTGTGAGTGAGCTTCTAGAGAACGCAGGAGAGGAGTGGCTTTTGGCTCTGATAGTAACATCTAGGCTTATCGGCAGTTAGAGAAAACAGGCTGGGCAAAGACTGCATTTAAATTATGTTGTACATCGGAAGATTCCAGCCCAGGGAGTTGCACTGAGAAGAGGGGGTGTACTAGCCTTGGTATATTGCCAGTGTAAATAGGGTATGGATTTGTTTTAGTTGCTTTCTGAGGGCTCAACATTAACATTCATACTGATAATTATGTAAGTGATTTTTGTACTTAAAAATTTAATTTTGGATCTTATTTACATTGCAGTGAAAGAATCTGAAAATGACAATACAAAGAAGGCAAAGTAAGTACTCTTTTTGTAAGTTGAATGTTTTTTTTTTCATGAATAGTCTCAATTTGTTTTCAAACTTTGAAGTGTAATGTTAGTTCTGTTTTTTATAAATAGAAACTAAGCATTTAACCCATGTTGCCTTTAGTGTGACTTAAATGTGCAGCCTACAGATTTCCAAATTAGTTAGTATTGTCTGGATTTTTTGTCTAAAGCATTTTCTCTTTAATATTGAAATAATGAATGGCCAAAGGGTATTTGGAGGATGTTTTACTAACAGTACAAATTTCAATGAGTAGGTTCCTGTGTTGTCTTGGATTCTCTTTATTCGCTGCTTAAAAGAATATTTCCAAGAAGACCTGCGAACTAATTTCTGTGTTTCCAAAAACTCTCTACTTTTAAGCCTTTGCTCTTTTTAACAAAACAGCTGTATGAAATTAAGCTTTCACAAGGCATGTTTTCTGCATGTTGGAATTACTATAGAATCTTCTCCTTTCACCTTCTTATGACTCTTCTATCACTCTTTTTTATTTCCACAGGGAAAAGATTCCCCTTCACGTCTTTAGTCCCAAATATACAAAATTACGTGACTGGCACCATGAAGTTTCAGCACGTGCTCTTAACGTGCAGTGACTCTGAGCCTTGCTCTCCCACCCAAGCAGCCAGTACACACCTTTCATTCACATTTTCTTTCTGCAATTTCATAGCAGTATCTGTTTTACATTTGGCTCATGAAAACTAGAACATTTCAGTGCTTTCCTAACAATTTCCAATTGTGAAAATGAGAAGAATGAACATGTTGTGTCCTTATTTGTACCTCACAAATGCAAAAGCAAAGAAAGAAAAGGAAGTGACTAGACCCCTTCAGTGTATTTACACCTATTTTCAGTGTTTCAGTTATGATTGTGGAACAGGAAGTCTTTCTGTAAGGTTGACCTAGTTCGTTGGTGGAAGTGTAGATAGATGAGCAAATAATGTTCCTTGTCTAATTAGAAAAGTGATTCCCTTATGTTATTACATTTTCCAAGTTTACTTTCAAGTTCATTATTAAGAAATGTTCAAATTCTATTGTAAATTCTCCCAAGAGAGCAAATGTAGGGAGGCAGATTCAGCAAAGAAGAGTATTAGAGCTTATATGGACTTGGGTGTCCTTAAAAGCCGGTACTGAAAAATTATTTTACCCTTGCTTGCAGAGGGGAAGCAATATTCTTTTACTTTAATTAATTTTAAAGATTCTGTTATCTACTAAAAGAAATATATGTATCCTGGGTATTTCATGGAATACCCAATTTCTAGGTATCAACAGTAAGACATGTAGAAGATAGCTTTGCTACATCCTTATGTTGGAGGAAAATAGTATAAAATAAATTTCTGTTTAAGTGTTTCTGATACTGGAGAAATGTTTTGGGGGTTATAAACTACTGTGTGTTGCTGCTATTCTTACAAAGGAGTTTTAGGGCAGTACAGGGAAATGCAATATATCTTGATTATTAATGCTTTGTGCCTTGTAATATAGTATATTATATATTTGTTCTAAACTCAGTAATAAATGCACTTTGAAGTTTGGAAAGAATTGTAATAAAGTTGTCTGTACCTTAGCTCTCTACTTGTTTTGTTTCTTTGAGACTAGTGACCTGCTATGCAGTACTTGTTATATTACTTCAGTAAAATAAGTAACTGCCTTGTCTTTTCATTTGGAAAACAGTTTCACTTCTTGAGGTTTCCAAAATGTTAACAGAAAACATGGCAAAGACCCAGTTTCTCCTGTTGTCATCCTGAGTTAATTTTTTAAGGCAACATCTTATATGAAGACTATTTAATCTGCCTTCTTGTGACACAGTCAAGAGCCCTTCTTTGTATAACAGTGATTACTGAGGTTCTTGCCTACATTCAAAGATCATTTTTTTACTTTCCCCAGTATTCTCTGATTTTACATCAACATAGACTAGAGCTACTGAGGATAAGGTAAAACAACTAGTGACTTGTTATTACGCAACATTTGGCCAGTCAGGTGCATTTAAAAATAGTTCTGGGATTTAGCTGTGTTGCCCATGATATGAAGGATGCCCATTTATTGAAACATTTTCTCAGATATTACAAGGGTTTGTCTTCTTGTGCTCTTATGATCTTAACATTACTCTCAGTTTTTACCACATTTCTGTCCTCTGGAAGAAACTCTTTCTTAGGCTTTTCTGTACCTAGTAATTCTTTGTTGATTTGAAAAGGCAGAATCTGAAAGAAGATTGTGTGAGAGTCCCTTAAAATGATGTATCAGAGCAAAGATGGTATTTTCCCCACCAAAACATAGTTTCCTTGAGCAATTATAGCATTTGAAGCACTATTAGAAAGCATTTTAGATACTTAAGGCATTTTCCCCCAATACAGAGAAGGAACATATGTAGACTTTTTTTACTTGAAACAGATGGTGTTGACAAAAAGAGTTGAGCATCTTGCTTCATCTCAGTCGTGTTCACTGCATCATCCAACGTGCAGATGTCTCAAGTGATGAGCATGGGAGTGTGAACCAGCGTCTAGCCTGCATCGAGGAGACATTCCATTTGTCTTGCCAGAGCTTGAATTCCTGAGCCCAGTGACTCTTCTGGGACAGTGTATATTCTAGCTTAAAAAATCTAGCCAGATATTATAAAAGTTTATGAAAAGTATTTTATAAGGGTAGTTACCTGATTTTTTAATGTAAAATTGGGAAGTTACACTCAAATAATTCTCAACATATTTTTTCCATATTATGGGATGTATCTTACATAATTGTAATTTTATGCCCTAACCCTCCCATCCTGAATACATTACTCTTGCAAACAGAGGCATACTTATTTCGTTATCATTGTGCCCTTTAGGAGAGCTGATGTTTATATTAGCTTGTGTGCTAAATGTCATTAAATTCAGATATAAAATAGCAGGTTTTTTTTCCATTCAAAAATATAGAATGAATTGGGTTTTCTCCAGATAACTGATTTTATTCTTGCTTTGTTTTTGATGTGATTCATGACCATTCACTCATTGAGTCTGTGTTTTTAAATGAGTAATTAATTAAATGTCAGGCACCAATTTATGTGCTGTAGATACCATGGGAAATAAGGATAATTAAAAACACAGGATGATCCAAGGTAGTTTTATTACCAGCTATCAGAGCAGGCTAACAGGAAGCAGATTTGGCTTAGGCAGGGTAGATTGCTGCAAAGTGTGTGGCTCTCCTGGACTCAGCCTTAGTGCTGACACTTTGGAGAGAGTAAGACCTAGTCTGCAGTGATCTCGGGCTCAGGGCAAAGGAGATGGGAAAACAGTGTGGCCAGTCTGTGGAGTGGAGAGCACAGTGCAGCTGAGATCAATAAAAGAAACAAGCTGTGAAGACATAACTTTTAACCATGTAAGCAGTTTTTATTCTAAATCTAACCAATTTAGTAAAATTCAAAATGAAGAATCAGGGTGCATGTGAGGAGTGGATGGGGTTGACAGCTTTTTTTTAAAAAAAAAAGTATATACATAGTAGATCAGCCCTTCCTCTGTCAACTTCGTGTTTTTTTCTCTTGAGATTCAGTGATGGTTTACAGAGGACAAAAGGCATAAGTGCACTGTGTTTGTAGCATGCAGGGAACAGAATGGGCTATGGAACATAAAGTCATGTAACAACACAGGTTGAGTATCTAAAACTTGCACTATGATATAGGACCCATAACTTAGTTGGTGGGTTTAATGATTCTGTCTTCTCTAAAAAGCTGGCTTGACTTATCAAAACCTTTTGTTCCTCTTATTCAATAGAATTTCTTGATGCAACTAAGTATTTTCTTGATGATTCCTTCTAAAATAGCTACCATCATAGCTTTTATTGCCTTTAGAAATAGTGAGAAACAGAACCATCAATGCTGGCTTTTGCACTTCAGTTTGTAGCTGACAGAGTTTCTACTACAGGGCACGACCTGATAGCTGCTTCTGGGTACGTGTAATCAGACTGCCTTACTCTGTGATCCACCTCAGTGCCTACACTGAATGAGCTGATGCTGTTGGAATGGGGGAAGAGGAGATAAAAAGCCTAATCATTTTAGCACACTTACAGACAACCTCTAATGGCTCTTGGTATCTCCATTATTTCCATGGCAGGTCGCCTGAGTCTGTCCCAGTCCTGAATGGTAGTTCACCTCTTTTGAGCCTTGCTACGTGGCTGCTCTTTTATGCCTTTGACTCAAGAGGCATTTCCTAGTAGGCACCTTCCATGCAAACTACCTGGTCGGAAGACTGGGTTACACAGGTTCTGCAGCATGGTCCTTTTGCTAATCTCATCATTTTGGTCATTAGTCTCCCATCCTTACTCCTTGATCTTCAGCCTAGATCACAGTCACAAGATTAAAGAAAGTCTTTGAAGTAAGATTAGTCACAGCACATGGAATTTAAAAGGAAATTTCATGTACCTTTTTTTTTTTTTTTTTTTTTTTGCCTTGAATAAAAAGTGCTTCTTGATTGATTACTTTGTAGGCCATGTAGACTTAATGAATGTTTAGAAATAAAGGTGTTTAGAAATAAATTATACTTAGAGCTGTGTCAGTGAAGCAATGAAGGAAGAACTCTTAAAAGGAAAATGACTGGGTATGTGTAGTGCATACCTAAAATATTACAACTTGAATGTTGTAAATTTGAGTATTTAGCATTCTAAAATCCTGTGTGTTTGTCCTTTGAAGGAGGTATTCAGTAAATTTTATCTGGGTGCATGTAGTCTCTGTACATTGTTACTCTTACCTCTGGCTCTCTCCTAGCACTGCCGCTGTGTCTTTTGATAACGCTCTGGGTGGTCTGCAGGTACACAAGGCTAGGGTGCGCTACTAGAGGAAGTCACTGACTGTCGTACAGTGCACTGAATAGTCCCACCAACGGAAGACTTGCCCAGCCCTCAGTGCCAGCCGTGTGATGCTGAGAACAGTGTGACTAGGCTGAGTGCCACTGCCCTCTCCCAGAGTTGCCTCGCTCCTTCCTACAGCCTCACTTGCATATTCTCTTCAGTTTAC